TTAAATATTTAATATAAATATATATTAATATTATAATATATTAATATACATTAATAATGATAAAAAGTATGACATTGATTGTTATTAAATGATAGAATTCACTAAAAGTATATAAATATGTAATAAATAGAATAATTTTGTGATAAAAATGATAAATGAGGTTTATTTATTGTCAATACATTAGTCATTCTCATTTACACCTGAAAAAATAGCCCAAAAACATAATTTTTGTAACTGGGCGGGGCTACCCGACACATTTTGAAAAGAGCTGAAAAACATGTTTTTTTAAATTTCTATTTTTTTAAGTTTAACTACTCTTTTTTTGGTTTATTCTTTTTGCATTATTCAATTAGATGATAAAACAATAGAAACATACAAAAATTTTGATTATTACTCAGTATTATACAGAAATATATGCAATACTCCTTAAGTGAGCGGGGCTACCCGACTCTCCCCTATATATATATATACATAACTGTTGTATTTTAGGTGTTATACTAACCATGATATGAAGCTCTGTGTGTCGGAGCATGATGAGGAGGTTGCTCTTGAACTCCCACTACAGCTAGAGCTGGGAGAGGTGAAAACCTGAGGGATGCAGAAATACGAGACATGAAATTTCGGTCAGCAGGCTGGGGGGAGTCTCCAGGAGGGGTGGGGGTGATTATTGGCTTCTCATGACTAGCCTGTTTAGTGAGACAAGGGAGACGGAAGGAACCTCCACTTCTCAGGAAACGGCGTGGAGGCGGGGTGGGAGCTCTGTTTCGGTCGTCCGAATCCTCGGAGGACAGGCTTCAGGAAATGTTAGGAGGAGAAAGAAGATTAAATAACACACACAAGACTGTTATACATAATTGAGTGAGTAACAAACAGTATTTTATTGACCAAACTAAGAATATTAATTGTATGGGAAAAGATTAAACATAACGAAAAAAGCACACAAGTAAGAAATAAACATTTACAAATAAATTATGTAATGATGATTAGTATACAGATAAAATTTTTAGAATTAATGTTGCAGCTTTTGACCTACAAGGTGCAGGAAGTGTTGGAAGGTCTTAAAAAATATGCTTCAAACTAAGCATACAAAAATCGGTACCAGCTGGAGCATAGATCTAGTTGCATGTGTACGAAGGTCTATGTAAAGCAAAACTAAATGGATGGTAGAAGGCAAGAGGACTGGCAGGAGTGCTTGAAAAAAAGAGACTTGGGGTCTTATGTGAAGAGGATAGAGACAGAATTTAAAGAGATCAAAATTTAATAAATCAGTAACACGTTCACTTTTCCAAAACAATTACTTACGCTAGTTCTATTAAGTAGATTCTAGTAAGATTCTTACGCTAGTCATTGGCAAGTTTATTTCTTTGAAGACTGACTTATTGTTTTCACTCAACTAAATACTAGACTTTAAATGAATTCAGTCATCTATTAATTCTAATTTAGGCAAGGACTTAAATGTAAGTTAAAGTCACAAGTTATAGTAACCATTCTAAATTCTAATAGATCTGAATTCTCAAACAGAAAAATGACAGAATTTGAAAAGGTAAAAAAAAAAAGAAAAAATAACATGAGATAAAGTGTAAGCACAGAGCAGAAAGGGATCAAAAACTTTATATGAACAGTCCTTCAAATGGCACAATGAAGAATCAACTTCGTGATAGGTTGGTATGATGAGATATGGTGGCATGGGTGAGGCAGTGAGGCATTGGCTGCTCAATCCATATAACAAGAAATTACTAACAGCCTGATTTTTGGAAGTTGCCGAGTAATTCATATTGGTTGTTTTTTTCCTTTTTTGGGACATAATTCATGTTTTCTTTTCTTTTTTGTTCACTCATTCCATTCAGTATTTTCTTACGAACTTGGAATGATAAACACATTTTCACTTGTGAATTCATTTTTTCTCCCTTCATTCATACATTGAATCTTATTTTAAACATAATCTAAGAACAAATGATGCTGAACAGAATATGTTTCAAGACACCAAAAATTTTCTTTTGAAGGACAGTTAATCATTCAATTTGGAAAATATACAATAAAATTCTGATGCACTTGATTCTAACAAATAATGAATAAATTACCATTAATTTTCATTAGGTATTTATTAATATTTTATTTCATTCACAAAATACATATTCATTTTAACTACTAACTTTTTTTTTTAAACTTATAAATCAGGATAAAATTTATAATTTTTTTCTAAGGAAAGTTCTTCTAAAAAATTAAAAAAACATGTTTTCAAATTTTTTTTAAGAACATATTTTAAAGTTTTTTTTTTTAATGGTTTTTAGTGGAGTTTTTTGTAAAGAATTTTTTGATCATCAACATCCTAAGCCTGATGCAATGAATTCCTTTGCACTGTTTGACAAGTAGAAAGTGCATAACATTTTAAAATATTAATCAGTAAACTGGAGATATTTCCTTCTAACATCCACCATTTTAATTATTAAATAGAAGTATGATACCATGTGTATTAATTCAAACAAGGGGACGCACACTGAAATGTTAATGTCTTAATAATGTTAACAACTCTTACTCTTTATAACATTATAAGCTGCACAAAATGCATGCAAAAACATTATCAGTTATGCAAAACAATAATTAAAAATAGAAGTTAGAAAAACAGCTCATAGTTTGTTATACATATTATTTTAAATAAAAAAAATTTGGAACATATGCAGTTTTTCATTATTGGGAATAAAGAAACACTAGCAAAGAAACTATTTCATCAGTTATCTAACCAGATTTCTCCAAAGGAAAATCTATGCACTAATCAAATTTATAGGACATTGATGTGAGAATTTCTCTAACAGTTACATAAAGCTTCCCAACTAAACATTTTTGATTGTTTTCCATTGATGGGCCAACATAATTTTTATAGTAACTACCGATAACCACGAACCATTATATTTTTGATGGTAAACATAAGTAACCATCACTCCAATGCAGGAATTCAGACTGATTAATGATGGTCCAACATAAGAATAGCAACTTGTTTTGATGGTTTGTTCATGTTGAACTATCAGAAATTTCCATCATAGTTCTGTAAAAATCAAATGTCGTAACAATCATGAACCACCATCACCCCAATGAAAGGATTTGGATTGATTTATGATGGGCCTACATAAAAAAATTGTTCTGAACCAACAAGAATTTCCATTAAGTCACCATAGAAATGTATTGTTGGAACCATTGTAGATTATTGGGTCCATGAGACTCAAACTTCTCTGGATGGTTAACCATCATAGTATTAAAGTAGCATTTTCTTTCATGGAATGATAGAAGCTTGCTGGCATATCAAAAACCATGAACGCATAATGTAAAATGTTGGATGATGGTGACCATCAAATGATGTTGGACCATTATGAATCAAGCTGAGACCAACATAAACCATCAAAATTATTTGATGGGATCCTCAAGAATTTTGTCATGGGTTTACACTTGTACAGGAAAAAGAATAATTGTTCACCAAAGGACTTTATTTTTGAGATTTGGTGAAAATCATTTTAATTCCTTTTCCCCAAAAATACAATACCAATCATATTAAAATGAAAATTTGAGCTTATTGCACAATAAAGAGGCAAAAAATTTTTAAATAATTTTTTTTTACCAAGCATTATTTACAAAACCATTTACAGATTAATAACAGTGGTGTTTTTTATCTTAGGGAATTTTGTGAAGAATACATTTTTAAAATGAAAAACATTGTGAAAGATCAATCTTTAAGAAGAAAAAAAATTTGAGAGGGAGGCTTTAAGATCCTGTAAAAAGTATATTTCAGCAATAATTTGTGAAGGTCAACTTAATGGACTGGAATTTTGTGATTGAGAGATCCATGTTTATTATTATATTAGAAGAATAAAAGTGTTAACTACAGTTACGAAAAATCTTTTCAAATAATAAAATATGAAAAGATTATTTGTGTTATGTTTTGAGAAAATGATTAATTTAAAACAATAAGATAAAAAGGATTAAAAAAAAAACAATTTTGTACAGGGGTCATAAAATCTGTGCCCAACTGTTGTTGTTTAAAGGCAACAAATTTTTCTTCAGTGAAATCTGACTAAACACTAAGGATTAGTTTACTCTTAACTATAGGGCAAAATTAACAGTGACCAACAGCCAATGAACATAACGAATGATGACTAAAAAAAATGTCTGCAAGGCGCCAATCTTTTCTTGAAAATGTGGCCCCATAAAGTTTGTTTATGGCAAGAACTCCCCCCGCCACTAAGTCTGAGGTCGTCTGATGCTATGAAAACAAGAATACTGCATTTCAAGGAGGGTAGCATCTCTTCACTCTAGGGCTAACACCAAAGAAAAAGATTATCTTTCTCTGGATGAACCGAGACAAAAACCCGCCCTAAACAGCGACCCTACACCCCTACTTGAAATAGCTAAATATCGTTACCACAGTCACTGCCATGGGACCAGACGAAAGGCTAGGGAAGTTCTTACTTTAGACAAACTATACGCTACGAATATTTCATAATATTTTGAAAATTATTTCCTGCCTGTTTCTTTCTTGATTTTAGAAGTAAACCCTGTAAAGTTGACCCTATATTGAAACATTATTAATTTCCACAGTTTTTCTAATCATTTAAAATATTATAAGAGAGAAAAAGTGGTGTACTATAACTGTCTAATTCTGCCCTAAGAGAGAGAGAGATTGTGTATGAAAGGGTGCATACTCAGTGGATACAGAGTGTATCATCCATGGCGCAAAAAGGTGCACTCCTAAGGAGACCGTGCTCCCATGGCGTGCAATGGAGTTATCCTCAGATGAACCACGGAAGGAGCGATGGCAGACAGGGAGGATGTGCGACAGGTGAGGAATATTAAGATGCATATCGCTGACGCACAGTGTGCTGAGAAGAAAATATATTTAAAGGGAAGTGCTATTTAAATAAGGTGCATGATACAGCTACTACATCGTAAGAAACATTTTTTTAAAAAGCTGGAACCTCTTGGTCAGAAAGAAGCTCTTCTTCACAACCCTTCTCCAGGGCATTCTATTTTTGTCCAATTAATCCACTCTTAAAATGGCAAGATCCTTTTCTAGGTAGTCAACCCATGCCCTCAGCTCTTGTTCTAACTAAGTCAACATTTTTGATGGTTTTTCTATTGATGGACTAACATATTCTTGATGGTAACCATCAATAATTCCATCAAGAACCATTATATTTTTTGATGGTAATCAACATAAGTAACCATCACCCCAATGTCAGAATTCGGACTGATTTATGATAGTCCAACATAAGAATAGAAAATTTTTTTGATGGTTTGTTCATGCTGAACCATTAGAAATTTCCATCATAGTTTTTTAAAACTCAAATGTTGCAATGATCATGAATCACCATCACCCCAATGTAGGAATTCGGACTGATTTATGATGGGCCAAAATAAAATTTTTTTTCTCATTAAATCACCATAGAAATGTATTATTGGAACCATCATGGACCATCACGAATCATGAATTATTGGGTCCATGAGATTCAAACTTCTCTGGATGATAAACCATCATAGTATTAAAGTAGCATTTTCCTTCATGGAATGATTAAATTTCTTCCAATAATTGATCCAGGAGTTCCCTTGTCTTCCGGATTGGGTTTAAAATTACAAGGCTATGGAGTTGAAGACTAGTAATTGTAAATCCAACATTGGGTCGTCTATTCAACTACGGTCATAAAATAGTGATTGGAAAGCCATAATCAATTAATATTAAAAATTATTCTTGACACAGACCACTTTGGGCTAACCTTGGAAGCTATAATGCAGTTTAATTTCATCAA